ATTTGATTTATTCCTTGATCAAGAGGACATATACAGAAGGATGGCTACTATCTGAGATGTCAGTAAAGGAGCTTTGTTTGTTTGTTTTGTTTTGTTTTTCAGGATAATTTGGAAAGAACTGAGAATAGAAAGTGATCAAAGAAGTTCTGGTGCCAAAGGAAATAATTCTGGACACTGGCTTGTGGAACAAAAGACCTGCATTTCCTGAGTAAAAGAAATATACATTAGCATGTTGGAAAGAACATTAATTTTCATAATTCACTAACCAAACTTTAATGTACCATGACTAGCAGGTATGAAAGACACCAACATAGCCTGTCATCCCATTAATAGAATAGATACCCTTGTAGAGTGAAGAAGAGACTGTTCATGGAAGTAAGAAGCCTGCTCTACATCACAGGCATCTCACAGGATTTTGGAAACCCAAGTAACATACATGACAACTACAAGCCAATTGGAAACATGTTGCATGGTTTCCCAAATGGGAGGTCTTACCAGTTAATTATCTCTTCTATTCATTTTGCCATCTCATTTCTTCACTTGGGGCTTTCTTAATGATGTCTGTATTCCAGTAATTCTCTATTAACTTTATTTATTAGGGACATCCTTCATATTAATGATAACTTGTTAGACGTCTTCAGGCAAGGCTGATCTCTTCTTGAATCTTCCTTTGACAGCCCTCATCTCTCTGTTTCATCTTCTCTTCATATTTGGCTTCCAAAAGACTGTGTTCTCTTTTCTTTGATTCTTCTCAGCCATTGGTTATTATCTACTTTGGAAGTCAGCCCTTCCCCGTCATTACTTCCAGTATGGTTTGAATCTAAAACTTACTTGCCAGAAAAATCTATATACTATCTCTACCTACTATGTCATTCTTGTACCAATACAGTTGCGTAGCTTTTTAAAAAACCCTTATCTCCTTTGATTCTTAAAGCAATATAGTGATAAACACCAAGTAGATGTTACAAGACCTCACAGATAGGTAAGAATTGAAGTATCTTGTCCAAAACCATGCAGACATTAAGTATCAGAAACAGGATAAAAATCCATGTCTTCTAACTTGCTAGATTACAAATCTACCCATGACATCCCACTGCTGTGACAATGAGCATCACATGGTCTCATCTCTTTGATTTAGTATAATGTAATCTCTACCTATTTCTGCTCATTCATTTTATACCAGGAACCAAGGCATCACCTTAGCACCTCCTTAGTATTTGCTGCTCTCCATCTGTTTATTCCGGGAACTTGTATTTCACAATATTTAAAACTACCCATTTTTCCAAATATAAAAACAAAATTTCTTTGCCAAACCAGCTTTTTAAATGTGGACCGAGATTTTATTAAGCACTACTCTGCCTTAACACCTCTGCCATAAATTTAATTTCTTTATTCAAAATACTGATCATATTCCATTTTGTCCCTGAAGCCTTTTATTGGTTCTTTAACATTTACCCAACCCAGGTCATTTGGGAGTTTCCATCTCAGCTAGATGTCAAGACCTCTACTTACACAGGTTGATCTGAAGGGGAACGTTACAGCTCCAGTGTCCTAAGGTGAAGTAGGCAAAGCGGTCAGATTTTCCCTGATGACAGTCTTCAAGAATAAGTTTAGCTTAAGTTTAAGTATGTAACACAAAACCTGGATGCTGATTCCAAATTCCAGAGCACTGCTTTCTAGAGTGTATTCAGTCTATTTTTTTAAGGCAAAATAAGAGTTCCATTGTTAAGTTTTGGGGAGGCCTAGATTACATCAACTTTTTTTATTAAGATACATCTTTTAGGATTAGTGTTCCATAGAATAACAATTTACAAAACCGTGCACCTAAATCTATACAAACTGAGCTAGAAATCCAAAGACAGTTTCTCACAGGATTCTCAGTGCTTCCTGTTTCCCATCTTTCTGGAAACACTTTGAGAAGAGACATGCATAGAATTTTGGCACTTAGCTTCTAGTTCGAGGCAGAGGTGCACTTTAATGAAGAATAAAATAAACAAATAACCTAGGCCTTAAACTTTAGTAATAGGTTCTAATTGAGTGTACATAAAGCCCTATTTAAAGTTTTTGGTTGATTTTCCCCCCCTGTTTTACACAGTCTGTTTCCTCCAACATATCTTACTGGAAATATCTCAAATCATTGAACACATCTTGAAACTTTCACAGAAAAAGCTCTCTCTTTCAAATTGTTTCCCACAATAGAGTTCTTAACATAGCAGCCAATGAATTCACAGTGGTGACAGTTGCCTAAGTTTTATCTATGTAAATATAGCTCTTCAATCAAGAAGGAAGATGTTGAAAATATAGAAACCTAATTTTTATCTGTCTGAACCTAT